ATGAGATATAACATATCGTTTAGCGAAATCAAAATTTAAAGTTAGGTAACTGGAAATCGGCCAGTCAGTAAGCATCCCAAATGGGCAATAGCTTCAGGTTAAATCTGAATTGAAATTTCAGCTCTCAGGGAATTTTCCTGATTTTTCAGGCAAGATAAACGCGATGGGTCTCCGTATGGACGATAAAATATTGAATATTCTCTTCGTCATACTTGCCATTCGTTGCGTTCCAACGACATATTCAAGAAGGTAGACAGTGTACGATTCCAGGTGACTTTCCTCAATTTGAGGTAGCGGATAATGGCTATTTGAGCATTGATTTATGTTTGAATATTGAATAAAAAGTGAATTGGTATCTTCAGCTTGTTGCTTTAAAAGGTGTAGTTCAGATACATGTTTAAATTCCCGAAGGACCTTCTTTCAGGCATTTTGTAAGATTTTAACCTGCCGCTCTTCAATTCTACTCTCCTACTGAAAATGTGTTTTAAAATTCTCCAGAAAATACTTTGTATACTTGCTACTTGCTTGTGGCCTTAATGCGTTCACATTTGATTCTAAACCGAACTTATATTGAATAAAGCTAATATTTACTATTCACTTAACCTATTTTTTTGAAATACAGAGCGTCAAATTTAAGAATAAAAGATCGAATTTTTTTTTATTTGGAATGATTTACGAGGTACGTATATCTGAACGTATTAAAGCCCCACATTTTTTTAATCACAAATACAGACTACTACGAGACAGATCTACTGAAATGGCGACGTATTAGACAAAAATTTACAATGCGCTAAATGAAGCGACAGCCAAAGTACAAACCACACATTTTTTTCATAACAATCTTTGCAAGAAACAGATTTGAGAATTGCACTTCAGTAATAGAAACTAAAAAAATTCCCTTGAATAAGACTGGAATGAGTGAAAGCCATCCATCAGGCTTAACAAAGGGACTATCACGTCAGATGAAGAACATTCATGCCAAACTAGAGGAGGAAGCAGTGGAAACTAGAATTTATGTGCCATATTTTTGCTAGATACTGAAAACTCGTTCATCTGTGCTATGTGGGACTACGTTTGAAAGACAAGATTGAAGAAAGAGTACGGCAAGTACTTCGTAAACCATTTACTAACATATCTGTTCCAGCAAGTCATTATGGCCCCTCAAAAAGTACAAAAAGTATTGTTTGTGGCACCACAAAAAATCTATACTGGCGGCAAACCTATGCAATACTTTTTGTGTTAATATAGCCAGATCTTGCTATTCAAAACAGAAAAACCGAAATCTGAAAACACCGCATTATTGATCAGACTAGATCTCAAAGATTTCACAAAATATTACAAGCAATGTTAAACTTAACAAAAGACTTTCCATTCAGTCAGACGTGAATACCACTGGAACTTCTCGGTATTTATCAAAGGTAAATTTGAAAATCTCATAAACGGTCCTGTAAGACAACTTTGAGTCTTTGACAATATATCATTCGAAATTATAGCGGTAAGCGTCGAAATATCCAATAAGTGCAACTTCCTGGGCCACGCTTAATATCCAATTCTTTTTGTCCTTGATTTGGCGAAAACACTTTTATCGTCTCTAAATTTTCGGTGAAGTTTCCAGAAATAACGAGCAATATTCTCTTGTTCGTACAGGGCATTTTTGGCACACTAGATGAACTGTCGCAGAAGTGATGAATTGAAATTAAAAATGAATTATCTGATTTTTTTATCTGAACTTTTTATTTTTCACAAGTTATTGTTCACGTATTTTACTCAAATTTATTGCGAACTCGTGATCGTAATAATCCACAATTGGATCAGCCTAAATTTTCGGCCTCTACCTTTTGAATATTAATTCTAGTAAAACCTTTTTTATCAACAGTTGCTTCTTTATTTTACGACATTTTCCAATAAGAAAACACCATTATTTATTCTTGCATGTTGATCAATTGTCTGTAGTTAAGCTTACGTTAAGTGTAAGCGATTTTGCATTATTTATTTTGCGTCGCTAGAACTTAGTATTAGTTACTGTTACTGTGTTTCTCAAAACATCATTGTACACACTTGCTACTTAGAGTTCAAACATTTTAATGGACTACTCCCGATATTGTTAATTTAAGGGTCTTTGTTCGAAAACAACCGATCGCATTTAACCATCGCATATTTATTTTCACGTTGTTGAAATTGAATCAATAAATACTGGAAGCCATTCAAGTGTATTCAGGAAATTCCCATAATTTAAGACCAAAGGAAAATAAACTGGGAACACGTACTTTGCCGTCTCTGAAATATGGACGATCTTTGCACTTTTGTCATAGCTCTATCCGAAGGTATTTTATTAAATATTCAGGCATGTGTCTTCGGCTAGAGCTTTATGCAAGTCTGATCAGATCTGATAATCAGCTCCGGTCCATTCCCCCTCTGGAAGTTGAAATGCATTGGAAACTGAATATAATAAAAAATTGCACCATAAGAATGTCTGGGAAATAATTTTCAAGTACTCATATAGAGAAAGTTTTAAAAATTCCAGTAAAATGCATATATCCATTTTTCTTGCTGCAAAATCTGTCTCCGAAAGTATAGAATTTCCTGCCTTCAGATGCGTTACAAAGAGCTCTTTGCCACGACCGGTTTCCCTTCTAAGAGCTAACTTTAACCTGAAGGGTTCTTGGATGTCTTTTGTCCGGCACATCCCGATGCAAACCGAATGCTTAAGGGGAATCAGAAGTAAACTCAAATCTATTATTTACGACTTTTGGCAGAAGTTTATTGATATTTTGCCAATTGTAGAGCTTTAAGTTGTTTAACGCACATGAGCTGTTTAAAAGTCAAAAAATAAAGTTAGTTGACAACTTACACTGCTGAATAACGTATCATTCATCATCAAAGCGTATCATAACAATAACATATCATCAGCAAAGCACCTTATATTTTCAAATTAACAATAATCAAATCTGCTTGGAAAATTTTAATAAATAAATCAACCTGATTGAAAGCCCGAAATAAATCCAGATGTCGATATTATTTTACGTAAGAACTTACATACCTATATGTGCATAAAGTCGATTTTTCGTGAGAAATCCTAAAGAAAACAGCCGGAAATCCGTGTTCTCAAGGCGAGTTTCTCCGTTACGTGCACTGTTCGAATAAAAATTGATTAAATTTTTCCAGTTACTCGACTTCGCTTAAGTTTAGTTAAAGAGATCAGTTCAAGCTCAATGCATATTCATTCAACGCTTGCGGCTTGCATGGCATTTCATCAGTTGTAAAGATGAAGTTTAAAGTTAGATAATTTTTACTTTTAATCATTGACTGGACGATACGTCATAAAAAACATATTCATAAAAAAGACTTAAGTGTTAAAACTTTTAAGAAATTTACTTAAACTGTAAGGAAAAAAGAACTTATGCATGAGAAACTTTCATATACTTATTATATCAATGCGACTCAATTTATGACAACATAAATAAAGCACTTATTAGAGTTTAAATTTCAAATTTATAAACCCGAAATAAACATAAAAATATCGCAATTCGGGGCGCCAATTCATAATTCATTTAGTTTTAAACCGTTGTCATTTTACTGCTTAAAGTTTACTGTAGTCGATTCGAATTTTTGAAACCCCAGTCCCCCATCACTAACTTTTTCTTTGTACCGAAGATTTCGCTATAAACCGGAGATTTAACAGCTTATACAATGGCCTCCAAGGAAAGCCTTATCAAAATATGAATATACCGTTTAAGAAAATCGCGAGTTAAGTATGAAATATTAGGGTTTGGCCAGCTGGCTTTTCGATCCGGCGATATATTCCCTATAAGCCGCAGATTTCTATCTCCGGATACCGATATAACTTCACATTGAGATCGGTTTAGATTTTCCAAAGAAATAGACTTCAAACACGTCTACGCATACTCAATATAATTTGAAACGTGTGAATAGACTTTAGGTATGCAGCTGTATAATTCTCAGAAGTATAATTAATTTACACATTGTATCAAGTCAAAGCGATCAATTCTGTATAAGGAAAGTAGACGCCGAACGAACGGATATAAATAATCTAATCTTGAAGCTATTTACTTCCATTATCCTTATGTTTATTACTGGCTGATATAACGAATAAAAAACAATGCCACTATCACTATTACGCAGCATAATTCATATGATAAAATTGGCTGGCAGACAGCGCACAAATACAACATATTTTTTTCCTTGCGTTTTTAAATCAGCGCCAGTCGCGGAAAAGTTGCACATTTTTCTAAGAAAATGGGAATTGAAGAGATGAAAACTTACAAAACTCCATCAACTTCAGTCACGGGTGATTTATAGGATGAACCTTTAGGAATCCTGAATAATTTACTGTGAAATCCTGGAACGGAGCAAGCAATGTTCGAAACAAAGCTATGCACTTTACATAGATCTTGTGTAATCAGTTTCGCTCATTGGCAAGCATTTTACCCGTTACTTTTGCTGCGGTTTATTGTAATGGGCTTCCATGCAATTTGTTTCCGGTTAAGGTGAAATTTTTAAAAAGCGTTTTGGTGCGAAATTAAATTTATTTTCAGCTAAATTTCTGTGGACAGAGAGAATGACGATGAATATCGAAAAATAATTTCCATTTTTAAATCGCCAGTCATCTTTAGCTCAAGATGTTAATGTAAGACTTAAATCGATTATGTTTTCTTCAAATCTAGTTAAAACTGAGATGTCTATCTCTTATAAGATGCCTATTTGAAGTAAATAAAGTAAATAATAATATATGTCTAATATAACGAACGATCGACATGCTAGCAAAAGGTCCAAATATTTACCTTATTTAGATTTTGACTACCTAGAAGGAGAACGGCCGACATTCAATGAAGCTTTTTCTAGCAGAACGAATCTACTGAAGGCTTCTATTCTACTGATTTTTATCGTTTATCGTAGTATAAAGTGAGCAATATCTATTAATTCATAGAAATAAAAACTTTCGCAGATATTGACATTTATTTTTATTTATTCCATTCGTTATATTAACTTCACTTGACAGGATCTTGACAGAATCGACTTTTATCATTTTTATAATTGAATTGCTTTTATAATTTCGAGAGTTTCAATTTTTAAATATATATAAAGTTTCAACAATGGTGCTGACGCTTGAAAGATTTATTGGGAAAGTTGCAGTTGTAACGGGAGCTTCGGCTGGAATCGGAGCTGCAATTGTTGAAGAATTAGTCAAAAATGGACTAATTGTAAGTGATAATTACGCACTTGACTAAGGAGAGACAATACTATTATGTCTCCCTAGTCTTAGTTACTTAACTTTATCATGTATTTTAATTAACTTAATATATGCTGTAAAATTTTTGAAGTAAGTAAAATTTGAAGGTTGCTGGTCTCGCAAGGAGAATTAACAAAATCGAAAAAATTGCACATAAATTATCTGGACAAAAGGGAACTCTTTGCGCATTTAAATGCGACTTAACAGAAGAATCTCAAATTATCGCTACAGTCGAAGAAGTGATTGGGACCTTAGGACCAATCAGCATTCTGATTAATAATGCTGGACTTTCTCAGCACACATCTCTTTTACGAGGTGAAACAAAGAAATGGAAAACTGTCTTAGGTAAGCGTTCGCGTTGTAGCAATTCGCAACTTAATACCTACAGTATTCTTAAAATTCGGAAGTCACAGTAGCCACTGCTAATATTAAGAAAACAACCCACCAAAGTCTCCTTGTTAAACGCACCGAAAGGAACTTGTCAGGAAATAAGCGCGAAATTGATAAAGAATTGTTATAATTTCAAAAATGATATGCATAAAAGTATAATTATTCCCATATGAAATGAATTTCTAAAAACTTTGAAGAGAAAATGTAAAAGACAATAATTTCAAGAAAATTATCATCCCATACTGCAGGTCAATGTATTCTTATTGAAAGTAATAACACAACTTCGGACCTTTGATAAGTCTTGAAAAACAAATCGGAAATATAAAAATGTGCTTGAAATTTTTATACCTATCATCCCTAGTTATGGAAATTGTGCCAAAAATCTAACTAGCGAATTGAAGCAAAATAATTCACCTTTAATATTTTTTCAATTTAATACAGCGACTCATACTTAAAGTACTAACTTTATTCGAAATATTTAGCATCTGCATGACTGAAAATATGAATCCAATTACAATGCAGTCAGACATTAACCGTTTAAGTTAAAAACTATAGACACTCCGTGTAAGTTATTTTAAAATGCATATATGTTTTTTATTTATTTAAATAGTTGCTTTAATTGATCTATATTGTTACATTCTACAATATTTCCTAAAATTATTGGTCCTATTTATTATTAATTATTTCGAGCGAAATAAAGTTGTAAACCTTAGGCGACAAATAATTGGCAAAATCAATATTAATTTTTCTGTTACTTGGTTTTAGTTTTTCGTATAAGGTTTGTCAACATAATTCCGTATAGGGTAATTATTTGAAATAATTTTTTTATATGAAATAACCCATTTTTAGAACATTTATAAATCGTACAACAAAAATATCAACTGAATAGAGTAGCTTACGAATTTTTATATAATATTTTTGTTTTTTTTTTCATAATAAAATATGGTACCTTTTCATTTTGAAATTATATATTTTTCCAGTTATAGTATCAATGTAACTATAAAAACTGATGGGAAAAAGTAATGTAGAAACTATTTATTTTTTTCTGTTTTCGCCTTCGATGCATCGGTTGATTTTGTAGATCCAAGTTAGTTAATCAATATATTTACTTTTAAAAATATTGATTAGAATTTAATACTAGAATGGGTACCATTGCAATTCTGGTAAAACAATAATGCATATAATGAAAGTAAATTTTCTGTTATTTTAGACACAAATATACTCGGGCTCTGCATTGTGACTAGAGAAGTGGCCCAAAATATCATAGCAAATAAAACGGCAGGTCACATAATCCATATCAACAGCGTTCTTGGTCATGTTGTGCTGGATATTCCCGGATTAAACATGTATGGACCCACAAAATATGCCGTTACTTCTCTAGCCGAGACTTTGAGGTTGGAGATTAATAGGGAAAAATTACACGTTAAAGTTACTGTGAGTTGAAGATATAAATTATTGCATTTACCTTTCGGAAGCAATAGGAAAAGCTCAATTTAGACTATTTTTGCTGCAGAGCATTAGCCCTGGTTATGTAAAAACGGAGTTTCAAGATATAGCTGAGTTCGGAGAGCTGCCAATGCCAGCCCTTCATCCTGCAGATGTTGCCGATGCGGTTATTTACGCTTTATCAACACCCCCCCACGTAAATGTATGTAAATTACAGTTTTAATCCCATTAAGATGTAACGCTTTTAAAGTTGTTCCCTGCGGAAATGGTATGTTTTTTTCTGTTCATTATAGTGTTGTTTATTTTTAGGTATCTGAAGTGATCGTTCGAGCCGTAGGTTCGATTTGATTTGTGCTTTCAATGTACGAAATAATATCGTATATTAAACCGTACGTTTTCGATATTTGATTATTTTATTTTGTTTTCCTTTCCTTCTGATAATAGCGCATGCTTATTAAGCCAACATTTTCTAGACTTTCAACTCGCAGCCAATGTTCAAATAATATATGTTAATATTATATTTTTATTTGACGATTTATGCTATAGACAATTCTCTGAAAATAAATCCTGAAACTAAATATGTTACAAAAATTGAAATTGTTAACGCATTTTAAAGACGAAGTAATTATTATGTACAGTTCAATAAATATTGTAACAAGCATATTGCCTACTCTAACGATCTAACGGGCAACGCGGTCAAACAACTTACTAGCAAGTTTACGAGAATGTCAGGCCATAATTGAGCCTTTGCTAATATAACTGAATTAACACAGTTAATTTCAGTTCGATAGATGAAATTGGTTAGACAGGACATTAATTGTGGGACCCCGATACTTTTAGGCATATATTAGTTAAGTGATTTTAAACCCTAAGCAGGCCGCACTCTTAATWCGCATTATGAGATCGCATTATMTAAATTAGTTTATTGTCTAAATMGTTAATCATTAAGCATTGAAATTAACCCTGCCAGATGAAGTTTTGGATGAGGATCACTGTTTTTATTTTACATTTAAATTTGKAATAGTGAAAGTAATTTGAAATAAATAAATAAATTCATTATACAGCTGCTCAAAGGCAGAGTTCCAATTCTGTGTTTTAATTATACAAATGATTGAAACTTAATTTGTAGTGCGTTGCCTTTATCAAACAGTAAATCTGAAGGTTTCCCGAAATTGAATTGGCTTAGCAGAKAAATCGAAGACTTTCATATCACTGATGTGAAAGCCAATAACACTGCCCGAAAGATTTCACACACGAACAGTGATACGAGACGGGAAGAAATGGATTGCGGAAATTCGCCAGGCAAACATTCATCTGAATATGAAATAGTAACCATGAGCAATAAGATAAGTTGTTAACATGAAAATGCAAACGTTCCTCAAAAAATATTTTACAAAAGAAACATCAGGAAAGACGACAAGACATATTCGTCATGGGCGTTTGAGTATTTATTTATAGAAAAGGCCATTAAAAATACAATCGAAATTTGCTCGGAAAAAATCGATTCCTTGCGAAAGTAGAAAAAGTCCAAACATGATTTACGCCCTTTCATATTTGGAATTCTGCAATTTACTGCCATGAACTTGTAGGGAGAAGCAAGTTCTGGAATTTGAAATAATCCACGTAAAATGTCTTGACTTGCACTAACTGAATAACGGACTGGTAAATTCGCCCAAAAAATGCTTAAAGTGTTAATAAAAACTAGTTCATACTCTAATGACTTTAAATTTAATTGACACAAACAAAATGGGCTGAGATTGTAATMTTCCGCTTTTATATTAGATACCAAAAAATGAAACTTTGTCACACATTTTTAAGTTAAGTAGTAAGTAARGAAAAATGTCCGSATTTRTTTTTTTTAAGTATCACGTGAAGCTTGTRACATTTCAATAACACTCTGTGTAAAGAAAAGTTGACAGTTTTTGCCCCGAAATTGAATTTCACGTACTGTCGACAAAYAAAAATGCTCTAATATGGACAATGGGCCTTATTCACACCTCCTCTCGACAACGCCCTTTTACTGTTAAAGTGATAACTAAAGTTTCGAGCTTCACAACACGCACCATAGCAGTCTACCTTGATCTTCTCCTCTCCCTCTTCGTACAATTTTTCTGATACACGTTATTTTGATATTATTTGGTACCAAGGCATTTGGTAGGCCAAGACAATGATTTGTTAAATGAAATGAAACCTTCCAAACCCCTTCAAATGTCGATTTCCAGAAGCAAAATGAGGTAGAATTGCGTGTTCACGTGTATTCCTTAATAGCAACGCTTTGCGACTTTGGAGATTGCAACTGGTTCTGAACTTCCATTTATAATATGTGTGAAAAGAGGTAGTGGTCTGATGTATATAGTATACAACCAAGAGAGGCAATTTTCGTATGCGGTCAAGAACCAATCGCAAGAATGCGCCACTTTTCCGTTTTTGTGTGGTAAAGGTGGCCAAATAAGGGACAGATCTTTACCTGGGTTTTGAGTTGAGAGGATGTATATCGTAGGTTTTAAGGCAGCCCTCTACTCAAAATCAGGGACTCATTTGTAGTGTTGTTATTACGCGTGTATATTCCAACACAATATCATTAATTTTCAAAATTGGGTGTGGTGTGTCTTTAAATTGGTACTCATTGTTTAAAACTCCGAACCACCTGGCAATGGAGCATGGTCCTTGTTTCATTACGAGAATATAGATTTCTCAATTTTTGTCATCAATATT